GAGCAGCCCATTGGAAAATGATTCTAAGAACTTGTTTATAGGGGTCAGCTCAGCAGGCAGGAATGCAGTGCAGGAGGTTTGGCAGCACAGTCTATGGCTTCTCTCTGCAGTGTGTGACAGACTCCTATCAGCAATGGCTGCTAGACTCTATGAATTTGAGCTCAGTTACCCACAAGGAGTCCTTCTTAGCAATATATTCCTTCTTGGGGTCAACAGTATACAACCCTCTATTTTAAAATAAAAAATTTTAAACCCAAACCTATTACATTTCTGTCTCATATTACAAATCTGCAATTACTTTAGTTGTTTATTTGCTTATTTTCTATGGAAACATAAGCTCCAGGTTTTTTCATCCCTGAATTTCCAGCATCCAACCCAATGCCTGACACATAACAGGTAATCAATAAATGTTTTTAATAAATTGTTTTCAAACCTTCTTGGGAAACAAATGTAGAAAAACAATAGCTCTGCTATAGAACAGAACAGACTATCACTACCCATGTTAAATCACTTAATTGCTTTGGATGCTGATTGATGCAAAAATCCTTTTATGGCCTTTTCTAAAATAAAAGCTCATTTAATTAAACAGGATTTGTGTCCCTGCTATCTGCTTGGTAATGTGCTATATGTCAAGGCATTCTGAAAGGTGGTCTCTCATCTCCAAAAGTTGAGTCTGATAGAGCAGGGAATGGTTCCCAAAGTGAGGTCTGGGAGGGGTCCCCAGGACCCATTCAAAGGGGTCTCCAAGGTCAAACTATTCATTACATGCCTTTTTCATGCTCAGTCGCTCACAAATGTAGAGTGGAGTTTTCCAGGGACTACAAGATATGTGATGGAAGAATAGTGCAATGTCTCCTTGTGTGTGTGTCAAAATTTTCTCAATTTTAAGTTCTAATTCAGTAAATATTAATAGCTATAACCCACATAATGAAAGCTCTTTGGAATCTTCTATAATTTTTATGAGTTAAGTAAACCCTTGGTAAAGAAGTTCTGAAACTAAAAAGTTGGAGAACCACAGCAATACAGGAATGGTCCATACCCAGGAAGCCATTAGCAACAAAGAAAACACTGTGGATGACGGTTAAGACTAAGATGTGAGGTTTGTGTCCCAACCAAAAGGTTGAGAACGGCCTTTAATCAGGAGAAAACAGCATGGATAGTGGAAGAAATGTCCGAGAAAGTTGTGGGCGAGGGGCAGCCTGGACAAAGGCCCTCAGGGAGTGCGCAGGAGGCGTGCAGAAAGCATTGGCGAGAAAGGCCATCTCTCTGCAAGGACACACACACACTTCTCTTTCACACTCAATAGGAGACTGTACATTCTTCTCTTGCGGGTCAGGCATCTAATAAAAGCCAGGGCATAACTAGGAACAGACAGGAAGTCGCATGGCGGTCTGAGTTGTAATGTTGAAAACTCCGTCCAGTTAGTAATAACTGTAAAATCTGGCGTGGGGTTAAAACATCTGCTTCCTGACTTGTTCGGGAGGAGGAGGGGAAATCGGTGCAAAGCAGAAAAGGGCGGGAAAATATGGCATTAAAGAAAGAAAGAGCGGGCTGGGGGATGGGAGGAGGCAGCGCGAGAAGCCAATGAATGAGAACCAGGCTGCGGCACGTACCCAAGCTGTCCGCATGCGCAGGCGCACAGCGACTGCTCTCGCGGGAAAGAACCGTTGCCAGTCCCGGCGTTGCGCCCTGGTAGGAGGGGGTTGGAGGCGGGAGTGAAGTCTCGCGAGAAGAGGCGGTTGCCTGTAGCGGAGCCTTCTGGCTGTGTGTGTCTGAAGATCCGCCGCCGGAGCCGCGGACGGTTTGTTGAGCCCGTTAGTGTCCCTGTCGTGACTCACACCGCCGTCATGTCCCGCTACCTGCGCCCCCCCAACACGTCTCTGTTCGTAAGGAACGTGGCCGACGATACCAGGTATGTACAGGGGAGATATTGCGGGCCTACGCAGGGAGGCCGCAGGTCCTCGGAGAGGACTTGTGCGGCTGCGGCGGCGTGCGGAGCCGGGGGAGGGGATGGGGCGAAGATGGCGGGTCCCGCGCCGGCCTTTGGGCCCGAATTAGGCCAAGCCGCCGGCTCAACTACCGCGTGGTAGCGAAGGCGGCGTCCCTGGCCCTCCTGGGCCAGCGCGGGCCGCGTGGCGGGGTTTTCGTCCCCCTCCCCCTCTGCTGTTCGGGGCTCCTTTCTCCTGGCTTCCTCACCAAGTGTCCACCTACAGCCGCGGCCAGCATCCGCTCCCCATTGACTTGAAGTTCACATTCTTTGGGGTGCACGCCCCCTCGGCCCAGGGAATTTTTTTTTTTTTTTGCAACGAAATAACGGGATCGGAGGAGGCGAGTGTGGCGAAGCATTTCCTATCCTTTTATCGTTGTTGTGTTATATTAAAATGGAGATGTTTGGAGACGGGAATATTGAGATTTGGGACATCTAATTCTTTGAGTTAAACGCTACGAACTAGTTCTTCCCATTTCCCGGAAATAGTAGTCACCTTTTGGGAAGGGGGTGGGGGTGGGGGTTAAGAGGCCTCTACCGTGAGGACGTTGATTACTAAATTGGATTAATCCAGACCGTGCCTTTGTTCTCACAATTCCAATTGCTTGGAGTAGCCGTCAGAATTTTTTAAGACAGATTCTAATCACAAAATGAGACACTGTTTCGCAAAAAGTCACTCTACCTCCCTACCCCCAAATCAGATATTTTTGGTAGCCCTGTGTGATTTGCCTTTTTCTGTTCCAACTTTAACTGGGAAAGGAAACAGTTAGTAGTTATTCTAGTGTCTAGAAAAATTTCTCCTTCATATCACTTGACATTTTTAAGGAGCTATATTTATATTTGTGACTTATTTTTCAAGCCATATCTACCTACCAAGTGTCTAACTCTGTCGCTAAAATTTGGGGGTAAATATAAGTGCTTAGCATTTTTCAGAATACTAGAGTTGACTTGAAACTGTAAAAGACAAACGTTACCAGTACTTATATACAACTTGTTACTATACCTCTTGTGAAAAATGAGGGTTTGGATAAAAACAGAGATAAATTGTGATTTATCAAGTGTGCTTAAATGTCTTTTCCTGTTCATGTAAAACAATAATCAATTTTATTATAAACTGCATTTTTGTCTTCCAAGATCTTGGATCATAGCCTTCCTTTATCAAAAAGATATATCGCCTGTACAGTTTTGCTTGTTCTTAAAATTGGCTCTTAACGTTGAGATTTAGAAGGCTTGTCTGTTTCAGGTCACCCAGGGACAAAGCAGTCCTTTTCATTAATTGAGATATTACCAAAAAAAGATGCCTATTTCTTACAAAGAAAGCCTTAAAGGAGTGAACATAAAAACTTGGGGTCTTTTTATGATGTTTTAGGTCTGAAGATTTACGACGTGAGTTTGGTCGTTATGGTCCTATAGTTGATGTGTATGTTCCACTTGATTTCTACACTCGTCGTCCAAGAGGATTTGCTTATGTTCAATATCCTTTCTTCAGATGGCTGATTAGTGAGGGGTGTTGAAGTTTGAAATTCAAGTTTATGTAAGAGGTAACATCTAAAAAGTAGTTTACTTTTGTCTTTTAAGAAATGTCTTATGTCTTCAAATTTTTAAAAATTAATTCTGACTCACACATTGCTCTATTAAAGTTAATCCAAAAATAGTAAAATATTTAAATATTTCCCATTTATGCTGCTGAAACTCAAATCAATTATTATAATATGTGATTTAAATGTGAATACTCTGGTTTCTTCCACCTTTAATTGTAAATCAAATTAAAAGTTAATATGTTCTTGTGCTTAGCAATTAAACTTTGGTATTCTTATTTGTTAATTTGAATCACTTGATCAAAACAAATTGTATAACAATGAGGTAAACTTCTTTAATATTGTCCCCTAATTTGCTGTCCTCTGTTGTTACCTCAGAGAATGTAAAGCTGTACAGTTATGGCGACCCCAAAGAGAAAGCATGAAAGAACCTTTAGAGTAGAGTTCAACACTTAAGGCAAGTAGACAAGCCAAAGGCCTCTTAAGGATCAGGCTTGAAGAGAAGGGAGAGTTTGGGAAAAGAAAAAATACAGAAAAGCTGGAAGAAGGACAAGCCTAATGGGAGACAAAGCCTCGCTTTATCTACAAAAGGGGGAAAAGGTTGTTTTTCAAAGTTAAAGATAAAGCCATCTGTCATATTTGGCCAAGCATCTCATGACAAGTCCTTCTGACAAGCACTTAAAGAGTTAAAGGTCAAGATGAAGTTGAATGATGGCCAAGATTAAAGGAGTCATACCTGATGTATCCTACAGAATAACTATTTTCCTTTTTTTTTTCTTTTTTTTTTTTTTTTAATGTTTGTAAGCAGTTAATTTTCAAAATTATTCTGGTTTGGTCTAGTGACAAAACCTGTAACTTGATTTATGTGGGCCTTTGATGTTGTGATTGTGGTCTTGTATAAATGCACCCTCTTAGCTTCTCAAGTTAAAGTGTTCTAAAGGATGTAATGTTGTTAAGCTTTAATTCAGCATTTTTTTTGTTTAGGACCAGGTGTTCAGATGCCATAGGGTAGCAGGCGGTGCTCTTTGGCATAGCACGAGGTTCTGGGGTCAAGCTAACTCCACAGAGCCATGCTTAAAGGGAAGACAGGTGCATGTACTGGGGACTACTTAGAAACAGCTCTGGTGCTCTTGTAGGGTCAGATCTACTAGAAAAACCACCCGTTTGTAGATTGTAAAGTGGCTGTTGCGGGACACACACATACTCCTAACTTCTGAAACGTAGGTCTGTGACGCCTGCTGGCCCTGCACTGTTTTAGCACATATGATCAGTTGGCCCTGAACAGAATGCAGATGACCATATCCCTAGTATGGGTACCTAATCAGGATCTATTGGCAATGGTTCTTTGGCCCAGAGTTTCAGGTGACATTACTTCCTTCACTGAGATGATCTCCATGCGTCAACAAAGGTTTGGGCTGTGCACTTCAGGTCTAGACAGTTTCTTACTGCTTAAGTTCAGTGGGTCTCTTGAAACCTAGCGGAGTCCTAGTGAGGCTTAATGAGGAAATGCTGAAAGCTGCTACTCCCACAGGGCCACTGATCAAGGACAGTTGTGGAAATGTGTTGCAAAGCTCTGTTGCAGGGAGTATAAGTGCTATATCTGGTTTGGTTTTTAAAGAAGAAAAAATGGTAGCAGTGCACTCTGGCTTACAATGTTGACCTGTTTTTATTTGGTTTACCTGATTTTGGGATGGCCTGTGAACCAGAATCAGCAGTAGTTTGACTTAAGAATATGTGATACTTGAGCCAGAAGAATTGTCATCCAAAAGAATCTAAAGGAAGATTATATAGTATTTTTTTATATACACACAATCTTTCTATGGTCTTAAAATAGTTTAAAGGGAAAAAAAAAAAAAGATCCTGAGTACAAATTTCTCCATAAGTGGCATCAGAATGGTATTTGGCTACCCCTGCTGTGACTATTTCTTCTACTTGACCCTGTTCCCAATTAGCCTTCTCTTAACAGGTAAAGTAGAACCTTGCCATGGTGCGTTTCATCTTGAAGGTAACCAGAGAGGATGATTTGCCCTCGTTAATAAATTTTACACCTGTTGGGGCGGCCAGTTAGCTCAGTTGGTTAGAGCGCAGTGCTCATAACACCAAGGTTGCCGGATTGATCCCCACATGGGCCACTGAGCTGCGCCCTCCACAACTAGATTGAAACAACTACTTGACTTTGAGCTGATGGGTCCTGGAAAAACACACTGTTCGCCAATAAAAAATTTTTATTTATTTATTTTTTTTTTTTTTAAAGATTTTTATTGGGGAATTGGGGGGAAGGGAACAGACAAGTTGCTGTCGTTTTTGTTCTTCAGTCTTGTTGTGGAGGACATTGCTTCACTGGCCCAAGTTGGTACCATCATTGTGTTCTTCCCGGGTGAGGCAGATCAGTCGCCGGCTTCTGGACGGCCGCTCATGCTGGCTGCTGGCTACACACAATAGCCCATGGCAACCCACTGCAGCAGGGGCTGCAGCCTTCGCTGTTGCCGGCGACTCTCAGCAGCCCAGCTCCAGGTTGAGCTGTTGTTCAGCATCTTAGCTGTAGAGGGCAGTGTCACGGGCCCTCATATATGGGATACGGACCAGGGCCCTCTGGCGTCCCAAGCCAGTTCTTAACCATCTCTCCACTCGGCCGGCCCTAAAAAATTTTTTTAAATAAATAAATTTTATGCCTCTTGGTCTAAATCCTTTAAAAAGTTATATTCTTTCTCTTGAAGTAACAAATTAGTATACCCATTAAGTTAATTTTTTTATTTTAGAACCCAGCTGCATTAATCTTGAGGGGTATTCTGTTATAGTATTTGAGGTTCTAAACTCCCCATCAGCCTTTGCCTTTTCATATTGAAAGCCCCATGATTTAGGACTTGGGAAAACCTCTCCCTACATTAACCTACACATAATAGCCTCAGGAAAAAAGCTGTGGACCTGCTGTGGTCCTTAATTCAGAACAAAAAATAGGAAATCTGGTGACGCAGACCTCTTAGTCTAGACCAGGCGTCAGCAAACTGCTGCTCGCAAGCCACAGGCTCTGAAGTAAAATTGAAAATGAAAAAACTATCATAGTTTCATTTATAAAATTTTTAAAAGTTATTCACATAATGGTGATTATGTAAAAATATATGGCTCTCGAGTAATTTTTAAATTGTTGTGGACAGGATTGGGTCTTCCAGGGGTCGGCAAACTTTTGAGGCAGAGCATACCCAAAGAGCCGCATGTGGCTCACAAGCTGCAGTTTGCCAACCCCTGGTCTAGACTAAAAGAATATTAGGGGACGAGAAAGGAGTATGTCATTTCAGGGGTGTTTTTTAGTTAGCTCTCAAAGGTCTCTGAAATTTCAGAAATAGAAATCGGCAAGTTCGAATAGTGACTTTTAGGATAGAATGAAAATCCATGCCCAGACCTAACCTACCTTTCTTTCCAAAGTTTGTGTTTTACAAACACTACTCTGAATATGTGTTTGGCTCCCATTAGAATGGTGGTTTTCAGAAAGGAACTAAATTTGTACCAAATAACTATAAAGCGAAGAGTTCTCTCAGTTTTATTGCTGACATTGAGCAGAGAGGACAAGGCAACTTAGCCTCTGAGATCAAAAATGGACCAACAGTTCTTCCTTTGTGCTGATAAGTATTATCTTGAAATTCTCAAGTTAAAGCCAGTTCCAAACCCACTTTGCACGATGCTATATGTTTTATATCATGGTTGTCAGGGCCTTTTAGTCCAGGGATCTTTAGAAATGGTCTGTTATATCTTGACAGCATGCTTTTATAGTCTGGATGGTTGTAATACGCTTTTGGTACAGTGATGTCTTCAGTATTGCTTGATTCTGTCTTGATGTCCACAAGTCGCTAAGCTACCAGTCTTCCCTGTATGGCATAAAGAAGACAAGTATGTACATTAAACTATAGTGTTAGATATGTTCTGAGAAAAACAGCAAAATTTGAGGTTAATGCTTTCATCTCTTGGAAGGTATATTCTGCTTGCTTACACAAGAACTATTGGCATTTTATTTTCATTAAAAAAATATGAGAAACATTTGGTTTTGGTTTTAAGAAATTTTTGTTTTAACGAAATGTAGAACTGACATTTGTGGGGTTTTTTTTGTCTTGTTTTGTAAAATTAATTCTTAAACCTCAGGAAATTTTCTTGATAGGATTACTTGGTAACTCAGCTATAACGTCTTATTTCAGTAATAACTACAATATGTATTTGCATGTGTTTTCAAACATATGCTTTAGGAATTCACAAGTACTTTAATACTATGAAGTGTTTATAGCTGAATCAACCAACTAGTAAGCAGGGTCTGACAGATTTTTATAGAATAATATCAAGAAATTATGAACTGTTCAAGATTTCCAGCTGAACTTTCATTCATTATCAAAGTTTGCAAAACTTCCCAAGCCCCTTAACATTTAGCACATTTGAGGATGTTCGTGATGCTGAAGATGCTTTACATAATTTGGACAGAAAATGGATTTGTGGTCGCCAAATTGAAATACAGTTTGCACAGGGGGATCGGAAGAGTAAGTACCTTTATGCCTAATATGTATATAACACATCATTTTTTAGACAGTGTTTTGAGATTTTTGTCTTGAAAGTATTTGTGCAATTTGTGTATCTGTTCAAAATCCAAAAAATTAGTTTTTGAGACGACAGTATCTTGAATACTTTGTTTCATCCTATTTTTTAGATGTATTACAAAGTTTTAGGATAGACATAAAATAGAATGTGGAGATCAGAATGCCTGGAATATGTTTGGACTCATAAGAAAGTTCATCAATAGTATCAGCTGTGACATGTTTAATATACGGAGGGTGGTATTGAAAGGGATTAAAATTTGGGAAGTTTGGGGTCCCTTGAGCCATTTCTCTTCATCATAAAATATTCATGGTGAATAATTGGGTAATTTTGTGGGTGTATGGCTATGGAAATGAACAGATAAACTGGGAAAGGCTATATAGATTAAGCCTAGAATCGATTTTATATTAGTACTCGGTTTTTATTATTATGCAGGCATATTCCAGGTGTTAGCTGTGTGCTAGTGAGGCAGGAAGGAATACAGGCCTTGAAGTCAAATAGACCTGGGTTTGAATTCTGACTCAACCATTGTTACCTTGGGCAAGATACTAAAAGATAGAGGTTAAAATAACTGCTGAAAAGAGGAGGAGCACTTAGGGTAAACCCAAGCTATTGGTAATTCTCTAGGTTTGGGGTTGGCTGATGGGTTCCCGGGTATTCACTGTTATTTATAGATACACACTTAAAGTACCTGTTTCTTAGAATTAAATGAGATAATACAAGAATTGAGGAGTGTCCGGGGGGGTATGGGTGTGTCTAAGGCATTCAATAAGTGTCAGCTCTTTTTTGCTTTTCTTTGTCATGGTTTCTCAAAACTATAGTTGTATATTACTGCATTTTGACGTTACACATTGTTCATAGGTCACCAGCAAGTATTTTGTCATTGTTAATTATGTTCTTAATGGAAATAAATCATTGTGGAATGACTCCAAAATAGCATCTGTTTCAGAAGCCATTCATGTTTTGATTTAGAAATTTAAAAAAAAAATGTTATAGTTTCCTAATTTCAGAGCAGTTAGCATATTTTAGGACAAGCTGGATGGTAAGAGGTCTTCAGGAAAAAAATAGTTGGAGATATTTGAGAGTATCACTTTTAACATAAAACAGTCTTCTGATATATTTTATTGAAAATAAACCTATTTCTAAGATTAATGGTAACAATTAACATTGGCATAGATGAGGGGTGTAAGGAAAGGGTAAACAGGAATTTTTCCTATAATTTGAAGACTTAAATACTACTACATTTTTAATGTTTCTAAATATTTCTGTTCTGTGTATTTCATAGCTCCAAATCAGATGAAAGCCAAGGAAGGGAGGAATGTGTACAGTTCTTCACGCTATGATGATTATGACAGATATAGACGTTCTAGAAGCCGAAGTTATGAAAGAAGGAGATCAAGAAGTCGGTCCCTTGAGTACAACTATAGAAGATCTTATAGTCCTAGAAAGTAAGTGTGATGTGTAGCACAGTGATCTATCAGGAAAGATTTATGTCTGTTAGCTTTTAAATTTTTTTACCTTTTTGTATACTTTTAATTATGTACATTGTATGCCTCATTGAGACTAAAAATATTCTAGTGCTTCGTTTAAAAAGTTCTTTGGTTCACTTTTTAAATTAGAAACTTTAAAAAACTGAAAATAGACGTTTGTCACTGTTTGCTTTTTCTGATGTACTTTTTAGCAGTAGACCGACTGGAAGACCACGGCGTAGCAGAAGCCATTCCGACAATGATAGGTAAATAACTTTGCTTTGAAAGAGACTTATACATGTTTCAATTTCAGAGTGAACTTTTGCTCTAAAAATAATAAATTTGATTAATATAGAATCTAATTTTTACTCTAATTGTATTTCTCCTCTGTTTTGAAAGATTCAAACACCGAAATCGATCTTTTTCAAGATCTAAATCCAATTCAAGATCACGGTCCAAGTCCCAGCCCAAGAAAGAAATGAAGGCTAAATCACGTTCTAGGTCTGCATCTCACACCAAAACTAGAGGCACCTCTAAAACAGATTCCAAAACACATTATAAGTCTGGCTCAAGATATGAAAAGGAATCAAGGAAAAAAGAACCACCTAGATCCAAATCTCAGTCAAGATCACAGTCTAGGTCTAGGTCAAAATCTAGATCAAGGTCTTGGACTAGTCCTAAGTCCAGTGGCCACTGATAGTATAAACCATGATATTTTTAGGCATGTATCATTCATTTACTCATAGTTTGGTTTACTTAAATTATCAGGAATACAATGTTGCAATGATGCTTACAAAACACTTGTCAGTTTTCCCTGTACCAGGCAATGGTTATAATTAAAATGATATGCTGTTGAGAAGCCACTCTTAAGAGTCCAGTTTGTTTAATGTTATGGGCAGCTACCAATTTGTGGTGTCTCTGTATATTTTTGTAAAGATTCTCATTTTTTATGCTTGAAGTATTGGTGAAAAGATGTTGGTTGACCATAATTTGCAACATTGTTTATTAAAAACTTTCATATCCATATTTGGTAGACCTGTTAACCTAGAAATGTAGTTTGCTAATAAGATAGAATGATCCAAAAGTGAAGTTGTAGCCACAGTACACTGACCGATCAGACACATGTAGGTTCAGGGTGGACCTTTTTGTCTTGTCAAGATGTCTAGGCCCATAAGAATAGTTATTAATTTACGACACAGTGTGGAATAGTTCTTTTATTAACCCCATTGTTTTAGGGAATGAGGCCAACTGGGTTAAGTAGCATTTTCAGACATTGAGTTTTTGACTGAAACATGGAGCCTTCACTGCTTTTTTTCTGGTTTCTATAAAGATTTGAAACATACAAACATCAGAAAAACTCACCTTAAAATTTTGAGCAGGTCAATGATGGCAGAAATAATTTTAAGGGGAAAAAAATACTCCTACTTAGTTACTCTAAAGTTGAAGGAACATTGTTGACCATGATACGGTTTAGTTTCCTTGCTGCTGTTAAAAGCAAGTAAATTGTTTCAAAGTAGGTTTGTGTGTGTGCGCATAGTGTAAGAGAACTGAGTTTTGATGCTTATAGCACTTGGTGTGTGCATTTGTATCAAAATTTGCCTACCTCTATGAAGGAGGCTCGTTCATCACATCTCGATGTAGCCAATGTGAGGCAGGTTGAATGGCAGCACTCCCATTCTAGGTGATTCTGTGGTGCCATAAAATTTACAATAATTTTGGAAAAAGAATTGACTTTAAATATGAGTCACATCTCTTTGAGTTTTTTTGTTACAGATGTGTAGTAGTACCTGACTAAAAGTGAGAAAATAATACCCTTAACCATTTACAATTTCTAGCATTTCTCTGAGAGATCATTTGGGGGGCAATAAAAGTGACTTGACATGTCCAGTCTCATTTCACAGTAAAAGCTAGCATCCTTAAAATTTTTAGATTGCTTGCTTGCAGGTTATAAGTAAGAAATATTGTGAGGAAATTATTCCTTTTAGAGGATTTTTTTTTTTCAATTTTAGTTTTAGTAATCTAGGCCTTGCCTGTAAAAGAACAAAAGATGGTTTTTAAATACTGTTTGTGGAATGTGTTTAAAGGATTGATTCTAGAACCTTTGTATATTTGATAGTATTTCTAACTTTCATTTCTTTACTGTTTGCAGTTAATGTTCATGTTCTGCTATGCAATCATTTATATGCACGTTTCTTTAATTTTTTTTAGATTTTCCTGGATGTATAGTTTAAACAACAAAAAGCCTATTTAAAACTGTAGCAGTAGTTTGCAGTTCTAGCAAAGAGGAAAGTTGTGGGGTTAAACTTTGTATTTTCTTTCTTATAGAAGCTTCTAAAAAGGTATTTTTATATGTTCTTTTTAACAAATATTGTGTACAACCTTTAAAACATCAATGTTTGGATCAAAACAAGACCCAGCTTATTTTCTGCTTGCTGTAAATTAAGCAAACATGCTATAATAAAAACAAAATGAAGGAAATAATGATTAACTGGAATTATTATAGTTTTGAATGAGATTCTAAAATAACAATGGAAACAATCCTTTGTAGATTTAGGAATAGTTTTGATCAGTGTTACACTAGGCATAACTAACTTTTACTTTGGAAATGATAGAACTTGCCAGCAAGGTTACGTCTTTTACAGAGTACTTAAAAATTCCTTATATGTAATGTCAAAGCCCCTTGGGTTAAACAACTTGGAGGTTATTGGTAGTGTTAAGATACGTATTAAAATGAAATTTGGGTCAGCTAATTGTAAGTTCATATTTTCATTATTGGATAGACCAATAATTCTGCTCTTCCCCGTTGTAAACACAATGTGTTGGGCCTTATGTTTATGGCTTGATTTAAAATACTTTGGCATTGAATGTTGGTGAGCAGTTAATATTTATTAATTGATAACCATTTTGGGGAACTGGTTTTAGTGTTTTGTGGTTTGAATTCTAGTTGCTATATAATGACAATTATAACTGATACTTACTATTTATGATGTGCCAGACACCGTTCTAAAAGCTTTATGTGTTAACTCATGTACTCTTCGCAAAACCCTATGAGAAAGATACTTTTATTTTCCCCATATCACAGATAAGGAAATTGAGACACAAAGGCTATAAAAGGCGAATCCAGGGTTTGAGCCCAGGCCTGGTCCTTAAATGATTTTTCTTAATGGACTATAATTTGAGAGAGATTGAGGAGATTGTTTTCAGTCTCTATAGAATTAGAAGGCCTGATATTTTATTTTATTTTTTTTACTTGTGTCACTTATTATTAGACTCGACTATTTTCAAGAAATGTATATGATATGTCTAAAGTGACATACCTAACAGCTTCAAAAGGACTATATTATAGTTGAACCCATGGTAGTTAGGATCCTGCCGATGAGGGTCCTTATGTAGTGCTTTGATTTTGGGTGACATAACTTGAATTCCACGATTACTGAGTAACTACTGTGTCTGGCACTGTGCTTGATATATTAGAGTAGAACATATCAAGACTCAAGTGAGGGCTGACATTTCACCTCTTTTTTTACTTAAGATCTCTCTGCATTGTTTTTTTAAGCCAAGTAAGCAAGAAGAAAAATTACCGATAATGCTTCAGTGAGAAAGGAAAGGTGCTACATAGAGTATGAGATATTAAGTTACAACCCAGGGGAAAGACCTGGGAACTATTGTACTATTTTCTTGAAAGTTTGGCCCAGTAAGCTGCTACATCCAGTTCAACTAACAAAATCCTGTATACCACAGAGAAGAATAAAGAAAACCAAACTGACAAACATCCTTCTTTTATTTAAGACCAAACTGCAGCTGGAATACCCAGTACAGTTCTGCTTACTACACTTCAAGAAAGATCTGAGAAAGCGGAAAAAGAACCAAAGAAGGGCAGTTCAAGCGACCAAAGGGTGGGTGGAAGGTGCTGCAGTATGAATACTGTATGAGTATTTTGACTCTGGTCCGAAAAGATAAAAGAACGTTATTGAAACTACATGGAATAATTGAAGTCCCTTCAAGTTTGAAAGTAAGCATTTTAGGACAAATAAAAGGAAACTCAACTTTGTACTTGTGGAAACTAATCCCTAAATCTGAATAGGTTTATGTTAATTCATGGGTAACAGGTCCATAATAAATTACTGGAAACTAGGATGTCTGAATATCAAGACAGCCATCGTCTCTTACAGTACCTCTCTGTTGGTCTGTCTCAAACTGAATTGGGTGTGAAAAGGTATGGTTTGATATAAACTTTTTCTTGGTTATCTCTTAAAGTCAGTTCCATTTTTGCTATTGGTAAATCTTGCCTTTGTTTTATTCTAGTGCCAGTGTTTTCTGCTTAATGGTTTGTTTTATTGGCATCCGAGTTTATTTACCTGTATGCCACGTGCAGTTTACCTCTTCCTTAAACAACTCTCATTCCCAGGTAAATTCCAAACTTAATATCCAGCTAAGAGGTTCCATCTCTTCTCACCTCTTTCCTAGTCAATGTATTCAGCCATCATTTACTGAGCCCTTACTGTGGGCAAAAATTGTACTGGGTAATCGGGGAGAAAAATAGATAAAATTCACTTATTTAATATCTACTGAGCACAATCTAGTGAATAAATATCACAGTATGGCCTCATTGTTTTGTTTGAGGTGTATTATTTGTGACAGTATTTTACACCATTCATATCCTAATGTGATTATAAAACCCAATATATTATCAAAGATAAGTAATTTTGTGGTTACCTGCCATTTAAAAGTATCCAGTATTTCTGTTTGCATCCCTTTAATACAAATAATGAAAAACTGTTTGAATCTGTAATAAACTGATTTATTGTGCAGTGACTGTAATATTACTAGAGTTATAGTAAATTGTTAATTCTGCCTCCTCAAACACATTAGGAAATAATCCCCCCGAAGTATTTAACTTTGCACTATACATAAAGGAGACTCTGGGTGCTATATTAAGATTATTTTGAGGCAAACAGAGCTGTTATCCCAACTGATCGGTATGTTCTGTAATTGAGAAAATGTTCACCAAGTTATACTTTTTAGTGATTTACATGTACATTTTATAGGGGACATGTTCTGTGTATAGTGAATAAATAACTTTTATAGTATCAAAATGTTTTGGATTCCTTAGTTCCTTATTAGGATATAAAGCTTATTTACCAATATATTGGTTCTACCGCTCACATATTCATATTTCTGCTACAGTTTAAACTTCCCACATAAAGATCTTTGTCTAAGAATATGGACATCTTTAAGCCTTTAATTTATAAAGACATTACTAAGGGAGGTATGAAATGTTAGGTTATTTTTACCTTTTTTTTTTTTTCAAACTTGCCCAAGATCACACAGTAAGTGGCAGGCCCTAGATCTGAGTCCATGATTTTCCATTTGGTTCATCTTTGTTACTGTTTTGTGCTTGTTTTTTTAATCAAATGGGAAAATCTTTATAACTTAATAAAATTAATGTAATGGAATAGAGAGTTCATTTAGAGGGAAGATCTAATAGATTTATAAAATAAGTTTAAAAAGTTACAAAAGGTATTTTGTTTGTAACTTCTGGGTGAAAGAAGTCAAATGTAAACCAAGATTTCACAGCTGTTGTGCCTCTTTCCAGCCTGGTTTTCCAAATTTCAGTCTCCTTGTATTGCATTCTGATTCAAATTCCTGTTTATAAAATCCTGAGGTATTTTGAAATGAGGCGGCTGTGACTTCATAGTAGTAGCTCGGGAATAATCTAATGGCATTCTACCAGGTGTAGCAAAGCTTTTCAGAGACCCAGGAGTCAGCTTCTCAGGATAAATGAAGGTAAGCAACCTGTCTTCATTCAACTACTGAAATCTACAAGACATAACTAGTTGCTATGGAAAAGTTCTCTGGGTTTTTTTCCTCTGCCCCCTCCTCCAACAGTGTTAATGTTTAATTACATTTATGTATTCCTAACAGTTATTTCACCCTTATATTAAAGATAGGATTTTTTGGTTGTTGTTTGGAATAAAAAGGCATGTAAATTCATTTCATTGATAACTGACAGTTTAAGTAAAAGGCCTTGGAGTTTTTGTAGATCACATCTCTGAATGCTGGAGAGTGAAATAAACTGGTCTAGGAGCCCAAAACATCTTGGGGTTTTTATTTTTGCGGAGGGGTGTAAGGTTTAGCTCTGCATTACAGATCTGTGACTGACTGGGTAAGGCCTTCATTTTTGGGGTTTTAGATACACTGTCCCTCTGGTTTTAGAGTAACTGCCTGAGAATGCAATTAAACACTGGAAAACTTACGCCAAACCCTTCAGTTTCTTTCCACCTTGTGCTTGCTTTTGGGAAGAGAACTTATCAGAACTTAAGTGTAAGGATAAGTTGTGGACTCGGTTTCATACTGCGTGTACTGACTTACGGCTCACTCTATGGCTAACTTCAGCCCTGCAGGATAGCTTCTCGAATAACATTTTAGTTCTCACAAATATGATTTGAGAAATTCCTGTTACCTGCAGGCTAACTACATCTTTATTAGTACCTATCTAAGGTATGAAATACTGATATTGTTGACCTTTCATTTTGGTTGCTCTTAGCTGTTAAAATGTATAATTAAAAGCTTTTTCTATTCTCACCCTCAATCCTCTCTCAACTTCTACCGCTTCAGTCAATCCCAATCCAAAAATCACTGTATAACTGTAAAGACAAAAAACTAACAAAAACATCTGGGCTGAGAATTGTTCAATGTAGTGAAGTTCTAGTGCGGTACAGAAAAAATTGGGTACTTCTTGTCATTGTCCATAGAAATTGCAGTGGGAATATAAGTAGGAAAAAAAGACTCATGTTAATTTCCTAGTTTGTATGAGAAAAGACAGCCTTGCTCTGCTAGTGTAGAATTTACAGGATTATCAACAAACATGGGTTGTCAATTCGAGGAATTCTTTTGTGCTAATTTTTTTCCCTACAAACCTAAATCATAGAATGGAGAAAGAGGAGATGTAATTAAACCCTGCTTGACTCAACTTGATAGCAAAAGAATTCCAAAGCTGTACGTTTCCATGGTATTCTGTGGCCTTCTGTTAGCCCTGATGGGAAAGGGGTAAGTCAAAAGTAGTTGCTTTCTTGTGTAGCTGTTGAACTAATCCAAATGTTTTTATCAAATTGGTTGCCTCTAAAAACCAACTGTCTTGGTGTACATTCTAAGATTAGACAGGCATAACAATTTTTCAAAAAATAAAAACAAGCCACTGGGGAGAGAAAGTTTTATTTTTAATAATTTCATGCTCCAAATTCAATATATGCACTTTTAGTACTACATAAACTTGTTTTTAGGACATAATTATTTGACTTGGGCAGTATTATCTCACCTGAATTTATCTGGAGAAATACAACATTCTGGCTAAAATATCAAAAAAGCTGCCAAATTAGAAGAGAGGGCACTTCAGTGTCAGAAATTTTTGATTCCCCGCACACCTTTTTTTTTCACTATTGGGTTAACGTTATACTTAGCATTTACTTTTGGCTAAAACATGTTATCGAAGTCTTGTGCAAGAAATCGCATCGTTTGCATAAGTGGTCCCCTGGGTTGCACTTACTGGTGAAAAAAAACCACTGGCATCATTCAATTATACTCGTATCATATTACAAAAGTTGTTCAGGTTAATATGAATTTTTAAGGTTGGAAGGATGCTTTAATAGTTTATCTTTGGGCTTAACAGAATAAAAATTAAAATAGTCCCATACTGCTTTTCACATCTCAAAAATAGGAAGTGTTTGTAGCAGATTAAAACCTCTTCAGTTATATAAAACTTATTACACTAGGATTTTGAAATATAGTTTACAACCCGATCAATTATAAGATACATACACTGGCACTTCAGCACAAGGGCTAACTTTTAAAAACACATTATTTGGACCTTTAAAATTAGGCCATAGTGTAAAAGAGTCCATGGTCTTACATTCAGCAAATTCATACTAAAATACTCTATATTATTTTTTGTAGGATAAATGCCAACAAAACTTTACATATGCTACAAGTTTATTACATATATTTACATGGCTCTTTTCTAGGTACTCAAAACTTTCACATTATATAGCTCCCTACTTTAAGCAAGTTTTGCAGGGATGATTTGAGGCCAGATCACTGACAGAATAGCTTGTGCAGTGCTATAATACAAAAATGTATTTTGAAAGCTACTCTGTGACCACCAAATACTGTTTCTATAAAAATGGTTTGGTGCATTTGTTGGCAATCACCTATCCACTGCATATAAGAAACGGGGCCACTGGCGTATTGTCTCATTCTAAATAGCTCCTAGTGCCCTGTCCACATTCACCAATGTTCAGTTTACTAAACCAACTATTCTCTAAGAAAAATTCACATTTTCTTTTGGCAGTGCATCAGGTTGTTGGCTGGTTTTGGTGTTTCTAGGACATTAAACTTTCAAATACTCAACTAGTTTTCAATCCCTGTGTTAACTAGATGTGTATAAGTAGATTTACTAGCTTTCAACAAGTAAATGTACTGAATTATTGAGAATCTTAAAGTAGTATATTACCCCAACAAGCAATCAAGTTGATTCTTTTACCATTCCCCAAATCTAAACTTGAATGGTTTCACTTAAGTTACTCAACTGAGAACACCTGATATCAAGTACAATTATCAGTAATTTAGTAAAGTTGCACTGATACTACCATTATATCACAGTGCACACAACACAAGATGAAGTCTAGATTTTCTACATTAGCAGTTTAACACAGATTTCCCTAGTGAATTTGGTATGAAACAGCTGATGACCTTTAAATATAACTAAATTTGAACATCAGTATTTTATCTTATTTTATACCTGTACTTTAAGCAAGGTTTTAAGTTGAAACGTCATTATTTCCTTATCAGAAGGATTAAAGGAAACAGGAACCCAGTGGCTTGGTGGTTTAGGAAGAACACTTGGTGATGGTGGCTCACTAAATTTGGCTCCAGCATAGTTCTGATTAGTCTGAGACTTAAAAAGCAAGCTGGGACTTGATAAGCTCGAGTTCCAATTCTGATTGTTTGGAAAATTTTTGTTCTTCCCCCCATTTTGCATGGCCTGCCATGCAGCTGCTGATGCGTTGTAAGTATGTCCTCTTTCTTTTTTCTTATGAACAATCTTCATCTGGGAATTTTGGTCCTTGGTCTTCTGTCTATTAAGCTGTTGTTGGTTCTTACTAATATTTCTAGATTGAGGAGCTGGAATGTTATACCTCTCTCCACCACCCATCTTCAGCTTCTTTGTCACCTGTAAGAGAACGGAAACAAAATACTGAATAAAATTCCAATAAGAAAAATTCAAAACTTTAAAAAGCTTCCATAGCCCCAATTTGTAACTCCAGGAATGGGGGGGGGGTACGGACGGGACAGGGACTCAAAGTGCTGTTCAACTGCTTTAACTTCACTGTATGTTCGCAGTTTTTATTACCTTCCTAAGAAAAATGAGCTTACCCACAAATCTGAAAAATCCTCTATTTCAAAATAAAAACAACAGGTTTAAGATACGTCCACCATAAAATGCCCCATTACAACGTGAATTTTTTCATACCTTTCAGTCTGCTTTTCAGATTGCAGGATTTCCACTACCTGTCCTCTTCCTTGCTGCCAAGCCCAGGATAATAGATGTTGTTTTCTGATGGATCCTTTCCTTTGTCTCAATACGGAAGTTTTCATGGGCCAATCTGCTGAGTTCAGCCTAGGAACTGAGGCCAACATCTGAGTCTCCTCAGCACACAAGTTTTGAGACAAGTCCTAGGTGGAAAAGTATGCTTTGTTAATTCAAATAAACACGGGAGAAACTGATCATTTATATTTACTACAGAATCAATTAAAGAATGGCTACTTCCTGAACTAAAAGGCAAAAATCTGAAAATGGCTTTCTTTGACCTTATAACTGTCATTTAAGAACTCTGATAAGCCTTGATATCCAAGAACTCCTTGGGGAATTTTGGGGTGGGTGTCTACAAGTCCCCTAACAAGTTGTTTGTGTCTTTTTCCTGGGGACCTTTCAGGTTCTCACACGGTTTTTGTGACCACAATGTTAAGTCAAACGGGAAGCATTAGCCTTTACAGCCATGACCAAAAAAATGGCTTAAAATTACTTCCGTAAAGAGACCTTGTTTTTAAAGTACCACCAGAATTTTTCAACCTTTCGACACATCAAATATACATTTTCACAAAGCCTCTTCTCCCAACATGTCTACATGCAGTTTCCTTTAGTTATGAACACTGTCCACTCCTCCCCGTTTTAAGTTTTCATACGCTGGAACACCCTAAGCCAGTTCCCATCTTAAGTATGTAAAAACGCCTCCCTACGGTGAACATTACAAAGTCAAGATTTTTCATTTGGTATTCCAAGAAACCCAAGTTATCAACAAGCCCTCTTCCAAAGCGTAACAGGGCCTTCGGGACTATTTTAACAGCCCTGAGTAAATGAGTTCCCAGACCTTGAGTCATTCACAGCGCGAGCCCGAAAAGTAAGCTTCTTCCGACGCGGCTTGGCTTCCGAGCGGCTCCATCTTTCTCAAGCCCGGCCCGGGAACCCGGTCCTCCCGGCCGCCCGCGCGCCCCGCCCGGTTCCCCGGATCTCACTTCCTTCCCCCCAACAATGGGGAGCGCGGCCGCCAACATGGCCGCGCCCGCGGCGCCGCCACCACTCACCGACTTCAACCTCGGACTGCGGTGGCGGTGGCGGTGACTCCTGCTCGGCGACGAAGCCCCCTCCCCTTCCAGGGAGAGACGAGGCACGGAACGAACAAAGCCCACGAGCACCGACGAGCCAGCGGCTAACCACCTCGGCGATCCAACCCAACCTCCTCCTCCTGCCTCCACCAACAAAATGGAGGTGGCGACCAGCGCAAAAGCGGGGCCGAGAGGCATGGCGGCCAATCAAAACGCGCCGACGCGAGGCCCGGCCAATGATACGCGGGCCACCGCCTGTTGCTGGGGCGGCTGGGGCGGTCGAGGGAGGTGTGGTTGCGGAGGGTTTGAAATTCTCCCCCAGAGGAGCATGTCGGGAACAACTGCTACGGGCCCTCGGCTGACACCGGACTCTACTTGGAGGCGTCCACCCAGCTGTTCCCGGCACCCCAGGCCGTGGGGACCTCTGCCCTCC